TATAATGTACATAATTACTGCAATTGCACATATATATAATTTACAAATAACCATATATATACACACACTGGGCATGCATGCTTGAAAATTTTTTACTGATAGGGTTATATGATCAAAAAGTTTGGAGACCACTGCTACATTCCTATAGCAGTACATCTCAACTCCGTATTATTTTACTTTAGACTTAGACTTTACCTTATATAATGTTTTTTTCCCCAGTTATTTTCTTCCTGGCAGGTTCTTGGAAAATGAGCATTGCCCAAGTCTTCATTCATAACTACTAAAAAGGGAATTAGTATTTATAACATCTAAATTAATCATGTGATAGATGGTACACCTTCTTCTTGACCTTGATCTTTCACTCTCCTTCCCTGCCAAAAAAAAACCAAAACCAAAAAACTACCACCCTCCTCTCCCCCAAAAGCCCCTTGAAAGCTCTTGAGGGATGTCTCAGTGATTTTCTGCTTATGTATTTTCAGTCTTCACGGCCACAGAGGTAGGGGTATCAATGTACTGCAGGAAAGAGTATTCTCTCATGATTTACAGTCAAATTCATCATTTTTTTTTTTTTTTTTTTTTTAAATCTGAAACCTTCAGAAACAGATAACTTGACTGGGTACTTGTAACTGAAAAGATATTTCAGATTTTTTGAAATTCACCAACATCTCAAGAGAAGACCCTTCTAAAACAATGCATTAAACTGGAGAGCATACTGAATAAAGCGCGACAAACCAAATCAGAGAGGGAGGCTGTGAAATCTTTTTAAATAACTAGAAACAATGATGAAATCATCTTGCTAAAAGAAGTGACGGTGTACAGAATGACAAAATATAGTGACCACTTGGGCTGCAAAAAGAATACTTTGCTAAGGGAATATTTTAAACTCAAAGACTCTGTAAACCATTTTGTAAATAGACCAAGAGCTATTAAGAAATTTTATGTTGCACAGTACTATCAGCTTACATATTTAAAAGACTTCTGCTCTACCTCACACATTGATAAGTCACGATATATCAGGACACTTCAGGAAAAAAAGTAGAGATTCATTTAACATCCAAGAAACGATAAAATTAAAAAAAAAAAGAGAGAAAGAGTGGGGCATCTAATCACTGTGTTTTCTGTTCCTCAGGGTGCTCACAATAAAAAGAAATAATTGATTTTCTCTCTTAGGTAAATTAGTATAAACTACCCATGATCCTCTACCTTTTCCTTTTTTCCCTGCTGTACTGTTCATGTAAGAAGTTAAACTGATTCCACTTTTTCCACTGAACTGTAAAACTTTGTACAGCATGAGCAAATATACGAGAAAGCAGTCAGTGAAATAAGGCAAGTTAATCAGTTTTTTCCTTCTTGCTTACAAGTACGGGGTTTTAAACAGACCTGCAATAGTATTTGACCACAAAGCTAAGAAAACCACTAGGCAAATAAAACTGAAAAAGTAATCTTTGTTTGTTTGTTTTGTAAGAAAAAAGACAATCTACTTTTCCATGTTTGGGAATCCGCTTTGTGAAGTTCAGGGTGTATGAGATGTTAAAGGGTCAATAGAAACCTTGTTAGATGTTTTGGAAATCAGTTTAGGATGTAAACCCTGCAGGGCATTACCAAGGAAAGGAAATACTGCAATGAGAGAAACAAGCTGGAGCATGGCCTCAAACAGTAAAGTTACAGTTGGCCATCCGGGATTAAGTCTGACTCCTGTGAAGAAATAATACTGCTCCTGAGACAGAATCCTTAATAAGAAACTGAAAACCTTGCAGTTAGAAAGAGAAAGTCAGATAACTAACGGTCCAGAAAATTTCTTACAGAACATAGAATTGTCTAAGGGAGAAGAAAATGGTTCCTCCTAACAAATTTACATTTGGAGAAGGAAATTGGAGGACAAACACTATCTCCCCCGCTCCCCTTCCAAAAAAAAAACCCAACACCCAAACCAAAAACCAAACAACTCCAAACCACCTCACACCACAGAAACCAAACTAGTAGATTCTTGTATTACTTCAAGCTGCAGCTGGAACATCAGCTGAAGATATGTACTGTAAATAATATATAACTCTCCAAAATAAATGGGAAGTAATACATACAATGTCTATTATTCCTTGGAATGTTTTTGTTTCTGTTGTAATCTCAAATTACAACCAGCTTATAAAGTAAGAATAGGTGAATATCTACTGGGAAAAAAAAAAAGCATAAAACAGAATATGATGGCCCTAATAAAAGGAAATGAGGTAGTGGTCATGAGAAAATGCAAACTACTTCAAACAGGAACACAACCATTTTAAAAACAGTACCTGAAATACATCCAATCCACAAGAGCACAAAGGTCCTCCTTTGATTCGCAGTACGAGTGTCTGCTGGTAAACAGGGATGAACTAGCAGTATGAAAGTAAGCAAATACCTTTACTTCTAGTCTGGTTGCCTGCATCACCCTGTCTGACAAAAGTGTCCCTGATTGTTAACTGTGGTCTTACCTGTCGTATAATTTGTTCTACTTGGTTTTGCAATTGCAAAATCGCTGTATTGGATCCTACCCGTCACTACAGTGTTTGTACTACTACCTACGATTTAGCAGGCAACCCCTGCTGCAACAGGAGGTTGCACTACAGAGTTCAAATATTTTGAACCAAATGCCTTTTTTGGTATTTGGTACTTGTTTTGCCTGCTTCTCTAACACTCTGTGACCAAAATCACATCACTCACTCTGTGAGCAGCTGTACTAGCTCAGTTTTAAAATTTCCAGATCAGAACAAGCCTCTAGTTTCCAAAGTCTCAACAGATTGTACCGTTCATATTCCACTCCTTTTATCCAGGTATCTGTCCTCTTCCTGTGCATTTTCACCACCATTGATTATAAGGACATTTTCATCCCCAGCTTTATTTATTTCCAATAGTTCCCCTACGTTTCATCACACAACCCACATCCAGTGTGGCTAGAGATATACTAATGTCATGATAAAAAAAGATTTCATTATATTCCTTTATTGCTCTTGTTAAACATTCCCTGCCCAAAATGCTGGCTAAGATGAAACTGATTTCTCTCCCACTCCCCCCCTGCCTCCAAGTGAGAAGAGGATCATAGATCCTGGTCCTTTTTACACTAGGTCTGACCTGTGAATGTATTGACACGTCTTTTCATATTACCCTGTGAACGTAAATCAAATAGATATGTATCCTGCTATTAATTAATAGACATATTTTTGAAAATGTGTTTTTGGGTTTTTTTTTTAAAGAATACTCTCCTTACAAGGATAGCAAGATACTAAAATCCACAGAGTAAAGTTTTACTTCTGTCTTTATGCTTTCTTTATCATAGCACCATTCATACACTCCTACCAGAAGGAATTGCTGTCGGAGTGAGATTTTTAAATTCTTTTTGTGTTTTCCACATATCTTCTGATTTCTATTTAGTGGTATTCCTAGCTATACTGTAAGTATACTGCAAACACAAGTTTTAAATTTTTTTGACAGATATTACAGTTAAACCAAGCTGGTTTGTTTTTTTTTTCTCCTTTTGGAAAGAACATAGAAAATTAGTGACTCTCTCCCTATTGTTAATTGGTTTGGGCCATTCAAGTAGATTACCAACATACAGGAAATCTGACTTTGTTAAAGCTGTACATTTCTTTATGCTGGTTAATTTTTTCTCTCCTTTGACAATAGTTTTTATTTTACAAAATAAGATGCAGTTTGGAAGAGGATCTGCAGAAGGTGACAGAAGAAAGGGAAGTCCCTCCCCCGGAAAGACTTGAGGAGGGACTCTTTATCAGGAAGTGTAGTGATAAGACAAGGGATAGTGGTTTTAAACTGAAAGCAGGTAGATTAGATTAGATATTAGGAAGAAACTCTTTACTCTGAGGGTGGTAAGGCACTGGAACAAGCTGTCCAGAGGAGTTGTGGATGCCTCATCCCTGGAAGTGTTCAAAGCTAGGTTGGACAGGGCTTTGGGCCACCTGGTCTAGTGGAAGGCATCCCTGCCCATGGCAGCAGGGTTGGAACTAGGTGACCTTTAAGGTCCCTTCCAACCTAAACCACTCTATGATTCTATGAAAGGGAAGATTTTAAAAGCCTACTATAGATGCATTTTGAGTCAAATTAACACACCTTTCAGATCATCATAAGCAGTAAAGATGTCTCTCCGCATGTGTAAAGAACGTGATAAAATTTGTAGTCTTTTAGGTTGTTATGATGGAAGCATGACAGATGTAATATGAAACAAGTATATTATTCCACGTTAAGTACATTTGGAGTACCTTACAAAAGAAACTCTTTATTTGCTTTGGTTTCAGAAATGCCTGAGGCACCAAAGGATGTTTAGATGCCTAGACTGCACTGAAAGCAACAAGAATTGGCCACCTAAGTGTCTTGGATGCTTCCTGTCTCACTCAGAACCCATACTTGATAAACAGATTCCATTAAGTCTCAGCAGTTTTCTGCAAGACAGTGTTAAAAGCTTTTGTTACTTTTGAAAATAAAATCCTTGATCTTTAAGAGCACTTCTGAAAATATCATTCTTCACCCCTTTTAAATTCTATTCAATACTTTCAAGTGTAACAATTGGAAGATAATTAAAACATTCCCTTCATCCTCTGCCCAGGACTCCTAGCAAACGGAGCCTTTGTCTTACCCCCCTCCTCCAGGGAAATGGTGGCTAAGAAATTTCAGGTGTTTAAAGCTAGTTTTAATTTTATGGAAGACTGAGATAAAATAAATTAGACAGTTATCCAAAAAAAAGCTTCTTCAAGCTGCCCTGCCAGTAATCTGAATTTAGAAATGGGAAAAAAGAGGTCTTCCAGAAACAGAAGGGTGTATGAGTTCAGATAGCTAATGCAACCATGCTCTTACTTCTCATGAATCCACTCTACTAAACACTGAATGTGAACAGTATTGCTCAGGAGAAACATGAAGTCTTCCCAACACTGATGTAAGTTGAATTAAGTGATCATAATAATGTCAAAGTATGAAACGCCAACATTTATTTGAAATCATATTCCAGGCCTGATATTTTAAGAACCAGCTATAGCGAACTGGGGAACACCACCAGAACTCTCAATTAGACAACGGCTGATTCCATAAGCCCAATGACGTCCTGAAAACTTCTGGGGGGAAAAAAAAAAAAACACAACAAACCCAATGGAAAAAAAAGCCTCAAACTCCCAAAACCTCCTCATCACATTAGCAAGAAGAATCTTTAAAGGTAATTCTAGGTCTAGTGCTCTGTCCTGTACAGGAAAGATGTATAATGGCAGAAAGAGCTACCGGTCATCAACAAGCACGAACAGAGCTATCACTCCATTGACTTCGTCATTCTCTCTGCTTTTGGAAATTAAAGAAAAATGTGTACAAAACTGACAAATTAGGATGTAGATAAGTCACAGAGCCTCAAGTAATACATGAAAGACAGTACAGTGAATAAGTAAAATTTAAAAAGGAGTTTAAGGTTTACCTTCAATAAGCAGCTCACATCAGGAGGAGTATGCACGACCTTTTGTTGCTGCCATGGCCTTGTCAGCAATCATTATAGCTACTGACTGTAAGAAATGGGAACCAAGACTGGCCTGAACATGAGTGAGAGGAAGGGAATTATCTGGAGATTAATGATGCTAATGACCCAAAAGTGAGATGAAGAGGTTAACAACTCTGCCTGGAGACTAGTGCCCAAAAGTAACAGCAGGCAATAGCAAGCAACAGTAAATGAAAGGGATAATAACTGGATTAAATAATTGAAAGTGATGCTTTGCTCACACCAGTGTATTGGTGACAGAAACCCAGCATGAAAAGGTAACTTTTTCAGTAGAAAGATCCTCAGAAGATCCCAGAGGAACAACTGTCAGTAGGCTTAACTGCTGTGTAGAAGGTAGTAAGGTCTCCTGGGAGGAAACACTGGAGTTCTGTCCTCGTTGCTGGATCTTGGGGTAAGGTAAGCTACATGCTGTACTCCGATTTGGACTGTGGTTAACATAGTGTCATCCTTATCAGTGATCTGAGCCCTGCTCAGTTACATTTCAGGTAGGTGCATCGTGCAACTGTGAGCATGACCTCACAGATGTAGCTGCGGCATGGGCTGTAGATAACTAACACACCACATGTGAGATGCATGCATTTTGGGTATTATTGTTGTTTCTTGAGTGGTGTTTTTTTCATTATTATAACTAATTTTTGTTACTGGCTTACTAATTTTAGTGAAGTATTTGAATCAAGCAAGGTTTCAACTATTTCTCTGGCATTAGTGCCCCTGTGCTAATCAACCAACTGTCACAGTACACCATGACATAATTTGGTGCACGGGCAGAAGGCCCATGTTATTGAGAGCCACAAATCAGTCCAAGTGTTCCAGTGCCACGGCTGCCCTTTGCAAGTTATGCAGCTGACATCAACACGTAAATCACTCAGCAACTGTATCACATCTAACCATTAGGCTAACTAGCTTGCTCATTGCAGTCAAGATACAGCTCATGCTAAATTTGTGATAAAAACCTGTTTATTTTAGAATTTAGATGCGTAACATAAATGTTAACAGTCTTCCAATAAAGTGCCCAAGGCAATGGTGAAATTAGCCCAAAATTCATGGCAGGGGAGAAGACTCAATACATTGTAGTGCTACAAAAGATGGAATAAGCTTCCAACTCTTCTCACCTAAGAAAAGTGGAAGAACATATCAGCCCTAAGAAGCACTGGACTGTGGAACTTTTCACCTGAAGTAGATAAACTCATAGAAAATGGAGGAGGACCAATATGAATATGGAGAAAGCTGTTTCTTGAGGCAATAGACAAGCTCTGGAGGCAATAGTTAAAAGCATTCGAGCAACGAGGAGAAGAATTGGAAAGAATTAAATGGAGGGGAACTATGACTTTCTATATGGCCTTGAATTACTGTAATTATTTTCTGAAGAATCTGTTCTTTCAATGGATATTTCATATGATGTAGGGCAAAATAAAACACTACATTAACACTGGATTTCAACAGTGTAGCATGGTTTGCTTCAAGTTGTGTCAGTTTACACCGAGATATACATTGCTTAATATACATATTCATTTTTCTTAAACCTAATTAACAAATAGTCAGATCTTTAATAAAATAGTCTTTGTCTAATTAACAGGAGGGCTGTGTGAGTTCTGGTGGTTTACTTCTGGAGGAATCAAGATCTACACATACACATGTTTTCTGGTGTTTACCTAATATTTAGTAACTCTTAGGGTGCATTTCCTTTTACCCCTCAGAAGCAATGCACAGATAGGGAGCACTGCATTAATTACAACTTCACCTGGCATACACAAAACTTTACTGTTTTTTCTTTGAAACTGACTTATGCAGTTGGGTGATTCCAAATCAACCCAGAGCCATAAATAGGGAGTTCAACTTAAGGCTCAGTTGATGATTCTTCATCAATAGCAATTAAAAAAAAAAATAAAAATAGCCTTGCGAACAGATTTCCTCTATTTTTCCTTACTGTGGATTTGGTATGAAGTTCACTGAAGTCAGATTCTTACAGTTTTCCAGTTAGTAGATGAGACAGGAAAAAGGAAACCATTGTACTAATTCTCAGATAAAGCAATTGTTTATTTTTCAAATAGTTTCACTGAAATCACAGAAGCTATTCAAGAAACACAACCCCCCCGTCATTTTGTATCTTGACTAAACATTGATTGGCATTCTGTTTTTCAAAAGTTAGTTATTGTGTCCAGTTCCATTTCTCTTAATATAGAAATATTTTGGATGTACCTACTCAGGTTAAGATCCAGAATTACTTGTTTGTATTTGATATTTAGGTGCTAAACTCCAGATAAGAGCAGTGTCACATATCTTGCTTATATAGTCTGCAAAACAATAGGAGAACAAAAAGAAATGTGCAAGCATCCTACCTATAATAGAACATGATTGGAGTACAATTATATTCAAGGTATTGTAAATATTAATGGGTGTTATGTTAGTGGTGCTTCAAAACCCACACAGATTCATGAAGATCCCCCCGCCCCCACAATTATTAACCTGTGGATTAGTTATGTTCTTCTCAATAGCAGTCATGATAATAATAATAATTCCTGAATAAAAGTCAAAATGCACATTGTACTTTTTGCCAAATATCATAGCAATTCAACAGAATTAGTGCAGAAACAGAAGCTTTACTAAAATAGACTTATGTAAATGCAAAAAAAATTGAAACACTATAATCTATGTAGTTTACGTTACAATGATTATGCAGTCTTAGGAGGTATGCTTGAAAAATATTGCAATTTCAGCTAACTCTGCACTCCGGATTCTTTGTTTTGTCTGCATGGTGAAGCTAGGTTTATAGCAAAGGGACAGGAGCCCCAGCGGCCTGTTCTGCTTTTCCTTATTTTTAAGGAATTTAACAGAAAAAAAATAGCAATAAAATTAGACTAGATGAGTACTTGATTAACTCACAACACACAGAAAAATAACTCAAGAGCCAGTATTTCTGGCTATTTTTTTTTTTCAAATAGTTTACTCAGTTCTCAAGAGTTTGCTTGGTACTTTGGAAAACAGAAACCGCACACAGATGCGGGACTCTATCTAGCTACAATCAATAGCTCAATCAACACCAACTAATGAGGCAGTCAGGAGTCCATTTCTTTGAAAATTAACATGACAGTTTAGACTCAACTATGTGACTATGTTGAAAATAAGCTTACAAAAGTAAGTGCATTCCGCATATAGAGGAACTTGTACAGGGGATATAAGATCTCTTAAGACACCAATGCCTTAGGTCAATCTGAAAGTTGGCTCACCAGAATCTGAAATACAATCTAAGCCCCGGGCTGAGACATTAGAAACTGAAGTTAAACACAGTTATCAAAGGAGAAAAGAGAGACCTCACAATACAAATGGTATTAATGCAGAGGCTTAGATGTGTCCTCTACCCCCCCCTTTTTTTTTTTTAATTCTTGGACTCTAAACGGATGACAATAAAAGGAACACTAATTCTATTGTTTTTGACCTTTTCTCTCTAGGAGGAAGCTGACAGATATTTTAAAAAATAATAAAGAATTTAAAAAAATAACAGTCAGAATTTTCTAACATGGTGTCCAGGACTAGAAACCAAATTTGATGTATTTTAGATCAAGTTTTGGCATGTGCTCAATGCCTTGCTGGCACGTTCAGTTTTGTCAGCCTCACTCAAAAGCTCTCAACAGCCAGGAAACTATTGGTTTGGCTGTTCCACTCAGTACTCCTTTCTCAAAGAGGTATACAATCTGAAGAAAACCTCAGAAAATTTTGGTTTAGTTTTTAAATTAAATAATGAGTGAATTTATGCCATCCAATTCTGAATATCTATGAAAGAAAAGTCAGTATAAAATAAGCCAAGCAAGTGTCAAGTGACATTGCAGGAAAAACTGCAAAACCCCAATATTTCATGTCTTAAGCCCCAATGGTTTCATATCTTAAACCAAACTCCTAACCCATTGGAGCCCCACTGTGAGCTACAACATATTCAGAAGAAACTAATCTATAAGTGAGAAACGGAAGCTCATTTTGACAAAATAAAGGGAGAGAAGACTACGGGAACTAGATTCTGTAGCATCACTCAGGCTCAGCTGTAGCTGAGCTGTAGGATTATTTGAGGAATAAAATATAGCTGAATACAAGTCCAAGTAGTGGAAAAAGGCCACACACACAATACTGCCCATGTGACAATAAAATATGAAGCTGAAGGGAAAAAAATCTCAATACAAACTTCAGGCAGCAGCAGGACAATCAAATGTCTAATAGTGCAATGTAGCACCTACGACACAGGGATATTATTTACTCAGTGTAAAATGAGCTGTCATATTTATGCTTTGATGTTGGATTGGAGAGGGCAAAGAGAGAATATCTAAGAAATGGACTAGATAAAGAGAAAAGCTGGAACTAACATTTGTTTGCACAGGTAGAAACAGCAGAACTTTAAGCAAGCTCTAGATAAATCCAGAAGACGGGAACATCAGTTATTCAGTAATTTGAAACACAAGTCACAACAATCCTAGGCTGATATTTTATACACGTACACTTACAGAAAAAGGAAGTAGAATTACTTTTGTCTCATTCTTTTCATTTATATGAACCATTTTAGTATCTCCTGTGTGGTATATATTCTCA